GTGTGGGCTGTAACGGGTAAAATGGCATATCTGTTCGGCTTGTTCCAGTTCCACGTAAATAACAGTTCCAAAATCTGTTGTCTTGGTAGGTACTTCTATTTCTAACTAAGGTGTTGAACCTATGCGGGAAAAGGAAAGAGCTTGGGACGAGTAACAGTGTGTTACAGTAACATTTTTTATCTTATTTTAACAAAGGTAACTGTCATATGTATGAATAAAGAAAAACTTGTGACTGTCTTTTAGTGGATTTTTTATCTCGTGGAACAGGTGCTGTTCTTTCAGTTTGTTTGTACCAGTTACAGTCTGCTACACGACGAGCACACAGTCTACCTGATGATAAGTAGATACTGTGGTGTGTGATGATGGGAAGGATATAAAAATGTGATAAGGAATAAAAATGTAGATGTATTGACATCCTTAGAACTAAGATGATATGCATCGTTTTCAATAAAAAGAGGTCTCGTCACTCACCATATTCTGTGCAATCGTAGTCCTTCCGCGGTCGAGCCGACATATACATGCTAAAGTCCATAATACTCTGTAGTAAAACTCTTCTAAAACTTTATTTTTAACATTCATTTGCCTTATAAAATTTCTGGTTACTAAGATGTATTTAAGTGATTTTATTAAAATAACCGATAATTGTGATTTACATATTTTAAATGGGTATCTTGAAAATAAATTATAGCATCGCTTGTACTTGGTCCTATACTACGAGTATACTGGCCGTACAACTAAGCATAAAGGTCGCTCAGCGAGCTATACATGATACAATTTGTAGTAGAATCAGAGTATTATATATATATATATATATATATATATATATATATATATATATATATATATATTTTAATTTATTTAATTGTTTGATTATCTAATTAATTTATTTTGTTTAACTAAGGTAAGTCTTAACAATATAATAAGGACATTGCTGAAATATTCGTACACAATTTCTTGTTAATGAATAAAGAGATTGATTGATTGATTGATTGAACATCCGATGGGGAAGAAAGGGTTTCGAGTTGCAGCCTCGTACCTGTAAGCGAAATGTAGGGCGGTTGTCTGCTTGAAGGAGTGAGACATGCAGGATGTAGATGGCACCATGTTTTGTGGCATTCTTTGGGGTGGGGGGAGGGGGGGGGGCTTTTTACAGCAGTGGACTTGTGAAGGGTTGTAATGACGACGACGATGATGATCGCTTGTAACATTGGTATAATAATATAATTTTTAAGATCCTGACAGATAAAATTTCTAGAAAATGTTTTTAACTGGAAAATGTGACGATAGATTAAGATATAGTGTATGTACAGTTGGCGTTTACTGTTAACATGTCGAATCTAAGCGTCTTGTCACGTATTCGCCACCTCATCCCCATTAATGTATGTTTCGTAATTCTTCAGATGACGAAAGGGAAATGTCAATAGATTTTTTATTTTCGCTGATCATAAATATTCACACTTTATGCACTGTATTCAGTAGTCGTTAATCTATGAAAGCATTACGTAGCTGCTATAAGTCCCAAAAAATATTTTTTGAAATAAGGAATAACACCAGACGAGACAATTCTGTTCATCATTTCATTTCGTTCTGTGTCCAAGAAGCAACTATACCAAGGCTAGAAACGCCTCATGGCTCCGATAGACTACTGTATATCATCTCTTGTATTCTCGATGTGTAAGTCCCAGACGGTTGACGGGTAGAAGAGTTAAAGATGCGAGACAACAGTACTGCGAATACCAATTAACCTGCCAAGCGTGTCGATTACCACAAATACATCCTTGCAAAATGAACACTTCATGTAGACACAATTTTACTTTAAATTGTCAAGCGCGACACCACAAGACAGATGGTGGTAGCTCAAGACAGAGGTACAGATGGCGGCCTCTCAAGTTACCGAATTCGAAGATAGCAGTTTACGTCATCTCATTATAACGTATTATTTCCTTCTGCAGCTCTCAGATTTTTAGTCGGTTCTCAACGTGCCGAGCTGTTACTGTTTCCATTGTTGCTATTTCCTATGTTTCAAGAAGGATTTTAGATAGATTTCTACATAAGCGGGAAATGTCGTGGAATGTTGCCCTCTGTTACCTATTCAATACACGACAAATTTTGTAGATATAACTGCGAGTATCTCGTATACTATAATCCACCTCGTTTGACATCCATCGCCGTGTGGCCTTGACATGCCCGACCAGATTATGGAATTCACTGTGTCTAATAGTGAAGAAGAACATACTTCATAATTAATAGGACAGAAATTAGAAAGTAATAAGGTTTTCTTTTATTTTTATGAAATATTTCGTAGACCAAATAATAATTTAAACGCAATAATCATACTATGCCCCTTTTTGAATAAAAATGTAATTTAATTCAAAACACAGTGGCAATCCAGCCTTTAACATAAGTAATGGATTAATAATCACTGTTAATAATCACGCCAAAATCTTCAATGCCCGCACAAACTCTATTGCAGCAGAAGACAGCAGTGTAAGGGCTCTTGTACACGAGACGGTTTGTACACGACCCGGTTTCATGGAGGTGTTTTACAAAACACCCGCGAATCGCAATATTACAATATTGCGATTCGCGTAGGGAGTCGACACGCGCCGGACGTAGGTCCGGTCTAGTGTACATGCGCTCCCATACTCCACTAGACCACTGCGCACCGTGCGTAGACGCGGCGAGTACCGTGCTCGATTGCGCAGTGAGCCGGCGCTAGCGCCGGCGTCGTGTGTTTGGCCTTATAGTGTCCCATACAATACTGACGACCGAACGTAGACCCGGCTTGACGCGGGGCTTAGCTCTGGCGAAAAACCGTCTCGTGAGCATGAGCCCTAAGTTCTGTCAGTCACGGGATGCAATGATATGTCTAGCTCAGTCTACTATAAGACCTCTATCAAAATATTTTTGCTTCGGATATCTATTACTATTGAACATTAATTTATACTGTAATTATTGTAACTAAAGATTTTCTGATATATCTGATAAAGATTTTCCACCTTTATTTTGACACCTGCCTTATATATTATAACAGAAGAAGAATAAAAAATAAAAAATTATAAGGTAAATAATAAAAGAGGGCTTTGTGATGGAAAACAATAATTTATTAGCAAAATAAAGTTGTTATCATTAAAGGGCGTATTAAATAAGACTAGCATTTTTCCTTCATAAGGCTTGTTTCTTATTTTATTTCTTTATTTTTAAAAACAAAACATTTTAAATTAGTATTATATTGGACAGTGGCATCTGCTTAGCAATTATTTGAATAAAACTAGTTTTATGGATTTTCTAAATAGTACTAAATATAAATATGGTTTATAATTTGCTGAAACTACGGTGACAGTATATCCATGGTCACTTAAACGCTGTTAATTACTATTTAATAACTGTTAGAGACATTACTATACAGTAGTTTAAAAAACGTAATATTGTTTTAATAATATAAAAAGTCAATACATATTACTTTATCATTACAACCCATTACAAGTCCACTGCTGAAAATACGCCTCATAGATTGCCAGATATGTTATTAATATAGTACGTGAGGGTAATATGTTCATCCGGACCTTGTTTACATTGATGGCTCTGTGGTACGATAAATTTTCGTCAGTCAACCGAATAATAAAGGGACAAAAGGGCGCTGCTTTACCGACGCCATTTTGACAGTTGACTTTAAAGTAAATATTTTAGTCGATTTTAGTATTGTCTAGTGTAGTAAAAAATTTCAAGAAAATTTTTCGAAGTCTTCCTAATTATTGCCAAAACTTGTTCGCTATTTTTTTTAAATATATTATTTATAGTATATGACTTTGTATTTTCGTCTCTGTCCTTCTCCTAGTTTTGGCTTTATAGGGCGGCAAAGCTTAAGGTGACCATATTAATAGGGCGGCAAAGCTTAAGGTGACCATATTACCCTCACATACCTTACATATTATACTTAAGTACATAAGTAACTAGATTAAAACATTAAAAGTAAAGTTAAAATGCAACAGCCTATATATTTCTCACAGCAGGGCACATACCCCTCACAATGCCGAGGTTTTATGGCGGGAAAGATACCACCGCGCTATGCTTGTTGGCGCATTTTTCTTTACAATGTTTTCCTTCACCGCATTGTTCGTAATATATCAGCATTTCATGTCTTAATTTGAAAGTAGATATTTTAAATGAAAAATTGCCGTAAGGTAGCGGTGTTAGAGGATTTATTATTTTATTTTATCCCGTGGGAGTAAGCCAGACAGATGTTATGGTTTCCGAATATACTAGAATCCAGTATCCATCCCGTATACACCAGATTTTCAAGAAGCAAAACAGCGACAGGGAGGAGTATGAATGTTACAAGACTTCTGGTGATTAACTGGAGACTAAATATAATCCCTGATTAAGAAGATCACAGTAAATCCTTCCTATATTAGAAAACGCTCGTGTCTAGCGGTAGATTTTCAGGTTGGTGAGATAAGAAGGAAATTAAAAGTACACTTTCGCACCTATTTACAAAGTGCTTGCAACAACGAAAATTAAATACCATGGTAAAACATTCATTTAATACTTAACTTATTTTAAATACTAGACATATTATCATAGCTTAAGATACACGAAATCAAACTTTGATCAAAACATCAAACGCGAAACATATTAACATTAAACATTACATCTATGTTGTTTGTAAGTACTATTCACTTTATTTAACGCCGATATAAGTTTAACTGCTTATTATTTATCTTATAATTTATTAATACTGAAATAAAAACCTTAATTCTAGTAAATGCAAATTAAATTTTTGCTGCTGACCTTTACACACTGGGAATATTTAACAAGCTGAATATGTACGTAACGTAAAATTTGACTCGTAATAATCGTAAATTAAAAGATTTATACATTACTAAGGAAATGTACGTGACTTGTGTGTATCTTTATTTGGTTTTATGAACTGACTTACAATGAGGACATTAATATTTTAATTTGGCAAGACACGTTCTTTACCTACGACTAATTTGTATTTAGTCAAATAGATCAGGCTCTGATGTTTGGTTTTTGCTTATTTCGATGTAGTCTACAACTTCCCAGTTACCTTCTGGTTCGTCAGGCATCTGTGGAGGTAAAGCTGCGCGTGCTAGTGGAGAGCCCACCTCATCGAGCGATAAGTACGCGCGTATCGCATCAGCTGCAGATTCGTCGTCCATTGAACGCGCTCGCGCGTTGAAGGCTCCCCCGATGTCTTGGCTAGGTAAATCCCAAATGTGCCATTGAGGTGTCATCTTGAAGTTCTGCGTTTAATTAAATATTTTTAACGAAATGCAACATAGTAGATTACGTAATTTGTATCAATAATATTTACAAAATAATTCGAAAAATCTTTAAGTTAATTGAAAAAATAACTGCAATATTAACTGCAATATTGCAATAAGGATATTAGAGAACTTCTCGTAAATGTTTTCACAACTAGTTTCGTAATAGTCAAAGTAGTTGCTTTTATGAGGCATTAACAGTAAACTTTTGGCAGTTGATTGAGCAGTATTCATTTATTTATTTAAACTTAATTGATCCTCTCACAACAGTACAGTATCAAAATACGGACTAACTGCTAAAAGCATTCTTTGCCAGTCAACCTCAGGGCAGTGATAAAACTACGAAACCCAAATATATTATAAGAAAATATAATATAAGATACACCAAGATACATAATATACTGATCAAACTAAAACATAGATAACTACTATAATGATGACGGAGTTTACAAGTTATGAAGCAATTATAGGAAATGAGCCCGAATATTCGTCTTAGATGTTTGTTTGCAGGTAATTTGTCTTAACTTTTCAGTCAGTCCATAGCCGCGCGGCTTGAACAGCAAACGATGAAGATATGAAACCTGAACGGTGAAGGGATGTAAAGAGAACAAGAGTCTCCGTTCCTGTCATGAGTGTCACGCAGGAACTGAAACTTATATTTCAGATAATTCATATAGTGGATATCTAATAAAATAGAAAAAAAGTGTGTTAAATATCCTAATATTTCCTCTCTGATGAAAAGGAAGCCATTTAAGCTGAGTTGGGAATGAGGATACATGATTAAACTTGCGAAGACGAAAAATAAAACGGATACAGTTATTGACGAGACGATGAGCTTGTCAAGGAAAATTCTCATTAAGGTCAGGAAAACATACATCAGAATATCTTTACAAACGTTTATCTAGGGGCAAAGAGTGTTAATAAAAATATGAGACGTAAAATATTGACAGATGGATTAAATTGACTAGACAAAAACGAGATTAAATAAAATATTTGAAGAGGCCTTTAATAGCGGCCTGTTTTTTGTAATATTAAAGTGATAAACAAGCTAATAGTAAACACGATAGCAAGTTGCCCTTGAAACCAGCAATCATTATGATTTTTTTTTTGTAGTAAATATGGTATACGAGCACACAGTCTACATAATATTAAACCGTATACACTAAATCTAACCTTAATTAAGAACTAAAATGCGGGTGCACTATTATTTTTATTTAATGAATATTTATTTAATCTTTATTTTCCATATACATATCAGTTAACAATATGTCTATTTATAAACTACATAGGAATATTTCATCTTATAACATGAAAAATAGCATCCATTGCCGAACTAGGCCAAAACCTGTATGGAATACAGCATATGGCGCCACTCCCCAGACATAATAAACATAAATTATTTATTTGAATTATGGAAAATTTACAAAACTTTGCTCTTTATATTACAGATGTGATATAAAACAAAATGTAAAATTGAAATAAAAAAAAATATATTTTTTTTACATATTTATATACATATATATATATATATATATATATATATATATATATATATATATATATATATATAAATATAAAATGTACCTGTTTTGTATATGGTGCTATACGTGTGTGTGTGTGTGTGTGTGTGTGTGTGTGTGTGTGTGCGTGTGCGTGTGCGTGTGCGTGTGCGTGTGCGTGTGCGTGTGCGTGTGCGTGTGCGTGTGCGTGTGCGTGTGCGTGTGCGTGTGCGTGTGCGTTGCGTGTGCGTGTGCGTGTGCGTGTGCGTGTGCGTGTGTGTGTGTGTGTGTGTGTGTGTGTATGTGTGTGCGCGTGTAAGAGGGTGTCTACAAGGTGAAGAATACAGTTTAATGAATACCTTAAGTTACCTAACAATAGAAATTCGAGCACTGTCCATAATAACTTAGTGCTGCACTGTCAAAAGATCTTCCGTTTCATCATATCCTAGAGTCAATAACCAAGGTGTTATTTTCCTTTTGCATTGCTTTATATGTAGGGAGTAAACTGGAATAATTTTATTAACTTTGTTATACACAAAAGGACCTAAAGCACAGTAAAATCTCCGAACAAATGAAGTATGAAACTGTTTTAATTCACAAGGTCTGACTATTCTGGAGTTTATACATTTTTGAGGATCAAAAATCACTTCACTGTGTTGTTTCAAGATTATACCTAAAATAAACAGTTGTCTGAAGGTAAGGACTTCACAATTTTCAAAGAGGAGTTTGGTTGGGAATAAGAAAGGTCGAAAAGTGCTTACTTTGAATACTGCACGCTGGGCAATTTCTAAGCACTTAATAGTAGAAGCTGGCGCTCTTCCCCAAGAAGTAATGCAGTACGATATCAGTGATTGGCAGAGTGCAAAGTAAATTTGCTTTATGAGTTTATAATCTGCAGTATGGCTAAGTGTTTTAAATATTATTATTAATTTCTGTACTCTTTTGCTCAATAATTCAATATGCGTTTTAAAATTTAAGTGACAATCTAACATTACCCCCAAGTATTTTATTTCATTAGTACGCTCTAATTTAGGATAGTAACATTTATGTTTATCTACAAAATTGCAACTGTGAGCCACAAGATGAAATTTATGTCCAAGTCCTTTCAATTTCCGAATAGAAAAAGGAATGTATTTTGTTTTATTAGGATTTAGTGTAAGATTTTCACCCAGCCATCTAGAGACACTGTCAAAAGCATCCTGCGTGCTGCGCAGGATTGCTTTTTGAAAAACTTTCTGCCAGGAAATGGCTGAAGTTAATAGAACTGTATCATCAGTTACAATGATCTTAGTTCATTAATGTAAATCAGGAATATGTTTGAAATATTATCCCAACCTGCTGCACAATTATCTTTAAGATTCAGAATTAAACTACTAACTTCAGCAATGTCAGTCTCTAATAAAACAAAAGAATTAATGGAGCCGGAAGCAGGACCCTTAGAAGCGCTAGAAAAATTATGGTTTGGATTTTTCGCTATTGTATCTGCTAAAGTTACACCAACACTAATAAAATACTCATTTATTTTATTGACGGACTTATACGGACAAGACTTATTGTTCAATAAATTCAATAAAGATTTTATTGTTTTAGCTGTGTGTGTTATATTTTTAATTATATGCCATATTTTTTTATTGTTATTTCCAGCTTCTTTTATTTGATCCTTAAGCTCTTTTTATCTTTTTTAGCAATGTGTTAAAAAAATTCTATAGCGAGTATAAGTAATTTTAATTATTTAATTATTTGGATATTTTCTTACTTTATAATGCAGTTTGTCTCTATTTTTCATGCAGCGTAAAAGACCTGGTGTGATCCAAGGCTTTATAATTTTCTTACGTTTTGCTAAAGAAATAGTTTGAGAATTTTTATTTAGAGTGGATATCATTGTTTCCAGGAAATAGGTTAGAACAAAATCAGGATCAAGTGATTCATAAACAGGAGAAAAATGTATATTCGAGATATCTATTTCAAGTTGATTATAATTTATCTTTGTTATTGTGTGATTAGAGTAACTACGAACTTGTTTCTTATGTAAACATAACATAACGGGTTTATGATCTGTAAGATTCGACTGCATTACTATCGCGGTTGTTGGATAGTTTGTTTTTATAAGAGCATGATCAATACAAGTACCACTAGATTCGCGAGTAATGAAAGTATGCGCAGGTAACAATGAATGGTAAACAGCAAGATTTAGGTATTGATCAGAAAATTTATGAGGTTTATCATCATTAATAGATATATTCATGTCTCCTGTTCGCGCCAAACGCTAATTTCAGGAACTAACGCCAGGAGGCGCTCGGCGCGGTGCATTTGTACCGGTTTGACGTTCGCGCGAGTGAGTTATTTCCTACCGGCGGCGGGGTCGAGTCGAACAGTTGCTATAATACTGTGCTATCGAGGGTACGTTTAAGGACGCCCGGGAAACCTCCATTTTTGGAGTCGGTTTTGTTAGCAGACGTTGCCACGACGAAGGTTTCTTTGTTAAGTCTAGAATTCGACGCCGGGCTGATAAATTGTTAGGAAGTTAACATTGACTGCGATCAAAGTCTCAATTGCGTGTTAAGCGCGCCTAATTTGCCGCGAATTTGGTTATTCTAATTTGATAGCGTATATAAGTGAATTGACCTTTATGGGAACAGCCGTAGGCCGTAACATACTGGTAGCAGAGCGTAGTTCCGATCCACGGACCTCTGGGTTATGGGCCCAGTACGCTTCTACTGCGCAATGACAATATTAAATGCTCGTGCGGCCTTTGATATAGACTGTCATAGGGAAGAAGGAAGAAAGTGACGGTGGGTGACTCCGCGGGAGATTACCACATTTTAGAGCAGCCTGGAACTCGGCCGCTGCTGCTCGCCTATGCTTGCCAAGGCCCCCTCACATTCACACATCACTGTACACTACTCGCCATCCACTATTACACACACTCACGGCCTGCCCAAGCCTTGGTGCGAAGTTAGCTTCGGAGAATGGTAAGTACTATGTGTTTCTAGCTTTCTCCCATATTGTTTATTGTAATTAACATATTCCACGTGGCCATATTCTGGCCCCGTCCCTCTGCTGCCCGTCGATGGGATTACTCATGGGCCCTAATCCCGTCACACTTGGTTGGGGCAGCTAGGGGCGTGTACAAACTGGTAGCAGAGCGCGGTTCCGGGTTCGATTCCCCGGTCAATCCCGACCATAGTGTTTGATAAAAATTAAACAATTTTGGTGGCAGGGAGCGTTTGTTTGATTGGTTTAATTTGTGTCTACAATCACGCCCGGCCGTAATACGTAAAATTAAAATTATTTTCTTATGTTGCTTTGTTGCTTGCCTTTTTTTGTTGTAAGTGGGTAGTTGCGAATGCCACGCCCTAAGTTGCGCAAGCGGGAGTTTTCCTAGAGGTATACGTCATGTAGGTAGATGGTTATTATCACGTAATCGGTTAATTATCGTTGTCGGATAGTTGTAGTGGATTACTTATCGAAGGGTCGATT